GATGGAAGGGGCCTGGAAGCCACCTCAGGAGGGAGAACTGTGGCAGATGTGGTCCCGCCTCCGTGTCTTCCTTAGTGCAGTGTTTTCTGCCAGGAATGTCCTTTGGTGGTTTGGGGCTGCGGTGGGCAGAGTGAGCTACTGGGCCCTCCTACCCCACTCGCCCCCACCTGCCTGAGCTGCCACCTCCTCCGAGCAGGGGGAGATGATCAACCGGATTGAGAAGAACATCCTGAGCTCAGCAGACTACGTGGAACGTGGGCAGGAACATGTCAAGAGGGCCCTGGAGAGCCAGAGGAAGGCCCGGAAGGTGAGCCTCCTCTGGGTGGCCCCCCGCACCCCCGGAGTGAGTTTCCCTGACTCCTTCCTCCCCCACAGAAGAAAGTGTTGATCGCCGTCTGCGTGTCCGTCTTTGTCGTCATTCTGGTAGTCGTCATTGCCGTCTCAGTAACGACTTAGCAGCATCGTGCGTTCTTGGTGAGACTGTGGGCCTGCCCCCCGGCCTGCCCCACCCCGGCCCAGCCGCTCCTCCTCCCCTCAGACCCTCTTCTCCCTCCTTCCCTTGCAGGCACTCAGAGCCCGGGACCCAGGGTGTGCCTCCTCTGCCAGCAGCTGGGGCGGGGGCAGCCCAGACCCTGCCGCCGGACCCCCTTCCTCACACCGGCCTGTGCAGGGGGGCAGATGGCTCTCCTGGGGTTGGCAGCCACCTGTTCGTGGGGGCCTCCCCCTGGGGCCACAATGGCTGGCGGAGGGCCTGCACTGTCCTGTTTGGATGGGACACATGGTTTTGTAAGAAATTAAAACACACAAAAAAGGCTGAGACTCCCCTGTGCATGTGTGTTCCTGGAAGGGCTGGCCCAGGGCCTCCAAGTGTCCAGCCTTCCCACCTCCTGGCCGTGCTGCCTGGCCAGGCCTCGGCAGGCTCCAGCAGGCCGGCCTTTCACTTCCCACAGGAACACGTGGGCCGGGAGGCCTAGCACCCACATCTGGCTCAGTTCTGTCGCTGGGGAAAGGCCACTGTGGCTTCCCAACCCTGAGCGGTGGGCCAGACCAGGCTGGGGCGCAGGTGAGATGTGTGTGGATGGGGAGGGGTCATCGGTGGGCCATCGTGAGGAACAGGCTGTTTCTTTGGATACAGCGGACAGGGAAGGGCCAGACGCAGATTTGCCATTTGAGTGGAGTTAAATGAGGAGCCAGTTAAGGGAGAGGTTGCCAGGCAGTGTCCCACAGGCCAGACCCTGAGCCCAGAAAAAAGTCTTGCCTTTTACATAGGAGTTCGGCTGGAGAGCCAGCGACTCCGGGTCAGCACACGCTATTTCTAAGGGGTATGTGGCTAGAGCAGGCAGAGGAGGCAGGGAGCCTGATTTTTATGGGGCGCTTGAGCTCCAGGCCCCAACTCTAAACTTCTAAGTGTTCCAAGTGCAGGTGCCTTGTTTCTGGAGCTGGCAGTGGCACCTGCCTCCAGCCACCCGGCTTTAGGGCTGAGGCAGCACCTGACCCTCCAAGATCTCCGGGTGGGTCCTGGCCGCCTGTCCCAGCCCACTTTTGATCCACAGGCTGCTGCTGCTCTGGGCTGCCCAACCTGTCCAGCGCAGTATCTCTTGCTTCTGCCACCGAGTGGGGGCACACATGTGGATGCTGTGGTGACCCCATTGTGGAAGGGCTCCATGTGACCTGGACTGGGGGAGGGGCCAGAAGGTGGGATTGGACCCCAGATACACAACCCTGCTTTCGCTGCCTCCATCCGTGGCTGGGCATCCTGGGGCGCCCTGGGGTGGCCCTGGAGCGGCGGTGAGCCTGTGCTGGGGGGAGTGTGTATACTTGGCCCTGAGTGTATGCAGCGTGGTTGAGATGGCGGCTGCGACTGGAAGCGTTGGCGAGTGGACCTAAATGCTGTTCCCGAGAAGCACTGGGGTTGGTCTGTAGGTCGTCCTGGCGGACTGAGCACCCCAGTATTAAACAGCATTTTTAGATGGAGAATGTTGATATGGGTGGGGCCTCAGAGCAAGTCCACTGTTGCACCGAAAAGTGATTGGTTCACAGAGCGCAAGGGGCATGATCAAACCTGCGAAAGAGGTGGAAAGAAGATCATGAGCCTGTGAGAGACGCAGGGAAGGGGACTCGGGAGAGGCCAGGCTGGGTTCCGCGCCCCAGCTGCTGAACGTGCACCTGCGCGCGTCTGGGAGGGGACCCACGCCTCCGTCCTGCTGGAGATGGGGCACCCTGTGTGCAGATGACACCTATGGGAAAGGGCTCGTTCTCAGCGGTGTGCAATCAGTTTGACGTCTACCCCGTGGAGAAGCTGCCGGCCGCCAGGTTCTGTCCCAGTAGAAGACCGACTTGGACACAGGCCTCTGGGCTTCCCTGATTCTCCATCTCTTCCCCGGCAGCTTGGATCTTCAGCAGAATCCTGTCCTGTTCATCTTCTCCTCCCTCGCCTTTCTGCCTTCAGAATAAAACGGCACCACCTGTGACATCGACTGGGATCTGCTAGAGACTGCCAGGCCTGTGCAGAGATCATGCCACATCTGTGCAGCCGGGGGTCCGTGTGTGCTACCTGACTTCTGTCTGGCCATGCTGGACAGCACCACCCCTACAAGGCTGCTTCCCTGCCTCACTCAGGAAGCTGTCTAGGACCTCCTGGAAGAGGTGGCTAGATGGTTAGGTTGAGGGCTTGGATGCCAGGCTCATTAGTTGGAACTTCTCCTGTGGGCTCGGGGGCCCTGGAAGGTTTTGAACAGGAAGCAGCAGGTCTGAGCAGACCTAGCAGACAAAGGGGCACATGAACTGGAGGTTTCACAGGCTCCCTTGTGCATTCCTCGTCCCTGTGGGATGCTGACCTGAGTGAGGCGCTAAGGGCAGGGGTGCACTGGAATCCTGGCGTGGCTGCTGTCAGCCTAAGTTTCAGAAATCAGGGTCTTGGTTAGTTGTGGTTCCTCCAAATCCATCTGGCAGCACGAGCTTTCAGCTGCATCTCTCTCTGCTAGCTGCCTCGCTCATTCAGTGTTTCATGGTTCAATGCCTAAGCAAAGGAGCCTGCTGGTCTAGGTCAGGCTACATTGGCCTGCCTGTAATTTGTCTATCTGCAGTCAAGATTTCATCCTTGACCAAGATATATGTGAGGTTATATGATACCAAATGCCGTAGCAGAGTGTCTAAGAAGGAGTAGATGAACTCAATGACTGACATTTCTGGTACAACCCCGTGGTAGAGTGCATTATTCCACATACAGACTGTCATTCCTGTGGGGCCCCTCCCTACGGAACTTGACATTCATGCCCCACTTACAACAGGCTTGACTCTCTGATTTGGTTTGGCCAATGGGATGTGAGCAGAAATGTAAATAGAAGCTTTAAGCACCAACGAGTAGTCTAGTAGCTTCCCTTCTCTTTTCCCTCTGCCATGAGCCTAGCAATTACCAGATCAAGACTTCTTCAGCCTGCAACTCAGAATTAAGATACCATGAAGATGAGCTGTAGCCCACCTGTAAAATGACGTGTCATGTAAATGAGAAGTAAACTTCGTTTGCTGTGAGCCACTGATACTTGGAGATTGGTTGTTACCACATCATAATGAGTCTAAACCAACTGTTACAGAACTAGTACCCAGAAGTGGGGAGCTGCTACAATAAGAAATAAACCTGAATTCTGTGACTTTGATCTTGGAGCTGGACAGTGGCTGGTGAGGAAACTATCATTGGAAGTTGGAAAGATGATGATGGGTGTTATGCAGTGATGAAGCATTTGGTTAAACTATAAGCTGGAAATAAATAAGAATATAAATTCTATCCAAATGAGCTTGGGGCCTTAGGCAAAACCTTTGGGAAAGGAAAGAGACTATTGGTAGCATGCATGAGTTGCTATTGGGTGCAGTTGATAAGTTACTATAATAAAGAGTTGGCTCAGAAAATAATTGGCCACTTTTAAGGAGAAATGGAAGAGAATATAGCAACTCCAGGCAAATGATCCACATTTGAACCAGTGAAAGATAAAACTGACAAGACTCTTAAGCCACAAAGTTTGATTAACACTCATCTTTGTGACAAGGGCCATATCAAGTGTATGGCTCGCATGCCCTTTATGAAAAACTCCGAATCAGCCCGGCCAGTGTGGCTCAGTGATGGATCATCGACCCGTGAACCAGGAGTTCACCGTTCCTGGTGAAGGATGGGTTGCAGGCTCAATCCCCATTAGGGGCCGTGCAGGGGCAGCCCATCAATGATTCTCATCATTGATGTTTCTCTACCTTGCCTTTCCTCTCTGAAATCAATAAGAAAATATTTTTAAATGATAATAATAAATAAAAGGAGGAATGTCTGAAAAGAAATGTAAGTTTAGCTGTTGGCCCATTGAGTTGACAGGAATCAAACAGGTAAGAAGCCTTCTACCTTCTAAGAAAGCCATTAGCTTGGATTTTAAAAGACCAGGAGTGGCTCTTTCCATCATCTCTCGAGCCACCATAATGGTGCGTGTGAGTGTCCTGGCTGATGCTCTCAAGGGTATCGTGCTCAATCCACTCTGACTGCTTCCGTCTAAGTAGAGAAAATTTGGACACATGAAGAGAAACCAGAGGTGCACACCAACAGAGGGACAGACACATGAAGAAGCCATGAGGGCAACCGTCTGCAAACCAAAAAAAGACATATTGAGGACACCTTGCTCTTGGACCTCTAGCCTCCAGAACTGCAAGAAAGTACATGTCTGTTTCTTAAATTAAAAAAAAAAAAAGGTATTGTGCTCGCTTCGGCAGCACATATACTAAAATTGTAACAATACAGACAAGGTTTGTCCTGGCCGGTTTGGCTCAGTGGATAGAGTGTCGGCCTGCGGACTGAAGGGTCCCAGATTCGATTCCGGTCAAGGGCATGCACCTTGGTTGCAGGCACATCCCCAGTGGAGGACGTGCAGGAGGCAGCTGGTCGATGTTTCTCTCTTGTCAATGTTTCTAACACTCTATCCCTCTCCCTTCCTCTCTGCAAAAAATCAAAATATATTTTTAAAAAAAGTTTTAAAAGAACCATATTTAAAAAACAAAACAAAACACAGAGAAGGTCAGCATGTCCTCTGTGCAAGGATGACGTGCAAATTTGTGAAATGTTAAAAAACAACAACAGAGTATCAACAATGCTGAAAAGAGAGGCAAACATCTGGTTATTAGGCTGTGCTCCAAAGTCATCATCTGGTGACTTTGGGGAACTTGAAATTATTGATGACCACAGAGCTGGGAGCATTGTGAACCTCACAGGCAGGCTGGAGAAGTGTGGAGTAGTCAGTCCCAGGTTTGATGCGCAACTCAGAGTCTAGAAAAATGGCAGGACAGCCTGCTCCTGTCCCGTCAGTTTGGCTTCATTGTACTGACAGCCTCAGCCGGCATCACGGGCCCTGAAGCCCGATGAACACGCACAGGAGGGAAAATCCTGGGAAGAAGATACATACATCCTGGGATGTGATACATACATTCAAATAAAATGCCTCAGTGGGGGGAATATGACCATGGGTGTTCAAGACTACATATGACCTTGAGTGCTCCCAAATTTCTAGGAGCAAGAAGACCAAGGCTCTAACCGGTTTGGCTCAGTGGATAGAGCGTCGGCCTGCGGACTGAAGGGTCCCAGGTTCGATATCCCTCTCCCTCCCTCTCTGTAAAAAATCGATATATATATATATATATATATATATATATATATATATATATATATATATATCTATATATATATATTTTATTGATATTTTTACAGAGAGAAAGGGAGAGCGATAGAGAGTTAGAAACATCGATGAGAGAGAAACATTGATCAGCTGCCTCCTGCACACCCCCTACTGGGGATGTGCCCACAACCAAGGCACATGCCCTTGACCGGAATCAAACCCGGGACCCTTGAGTCTGCAGGCTGATGCTCTATCCACTGAGCCAAACCGGCTAGGGCATCAATAAAATATATTAAAAAAAAAAAAAAAAGGAGACCAAGAATGCTGTGCGACCTCAGAAAGGCATAGCCTCCAATATCTTCTCAAATGTGGCCAAGCAGAAAGGGATGGGCCACTCTGAGACTCTGAGGCAGCCGTGGGCAAACTACGGCCCGCGGGCCGGATCCGGCCCGTTTGAAATGAATAAAACTAAAAAAAAAAAAGACCGTACCCTTTTATGTAATGATGTTTACTTTGAATTTATATTAGTTCACACAAACACTCCATCCATGCTTTTGTTCCGGCCCTCCGGTCCAGTTTAAGAACCCATTGTGGCCCTCGAGTCAGAAAGTTTGCCCACCCCTGCTCTAAGGGTAAAACCTACCACATGGAGAAGAATGAACTAGAGGACCAGTTCCAGGAAGCAGTCCATTTCCAGGGAAAGGAGGGGCACCTCTGCCAGGTAAGATTTTAGAATTACTATGGACCAATAACTGTGTGTGTCGCCCATTTTTCTTTCTGAATGGGGATGTTTACTGCTATTCTTCTGTCCCTGCTTCACTTCATATGTTGGGTGGGGGAGCAGAGAGAACTATTTTTAAAATTAAATATTGTTGAAAGTATTACATATATCATCTTTCTTCCCCCATTGACCCTTTCTAGCGCCCCCACCGCCCACCCCAGGTCTTCACCACCCTGTTGTCCGTGTCCATGGGTTTGCATAGATGTGTACAAGTTCTTTGATTTCTTCCCACCCACCCACCCTCCCCCGCCTTACCTCTGAGGTTCCGCACTCTGTTCTATGCTTCCATGTCTCAGGATCTATTTTGTTCATCAGTTTATTTTGTTCATTAGATTCTACATATGAGTGAGATCATGTGGTACTTATCTTTCTCTGACTGGCTTATTTCGCTTAGTATAATACCTACTCTCCAAAGAGTAAGAGATCCTTTTTTAAAATATATTTTATTGATTTTTTACAGAGAAGAAGGGAGAGGGATAGAGAGTTAGAAACATCAATGAGAGAGAAAGATCGATCAGCTGCCTCCTGCACGCTCCCTACTGGGGATGTGCCCGCAACCAAGGTACATGCCCTTGACTGGAATCGAACCCAGGACCCTTCAGTCGGCAGGCCGACGCTCAATCCACTGAGCCAAACCAGTTAGGGCAAGAGATCCTTCTTTTTTACTGCTCCATAGTATTCCATCATGTAAATGTGCCACAGCTTTTTTACCCACTCATCTACTGATGGGCACTTGGGCTGTTTCCAGATCTTAGCCATTGTAAATTGTGCTGCTGTGAACTTAGGGGTGCATACTTTCTTTCTAATTGGTTTCTGGTTGTTAATTTTGTATCCTGCTACATTGCCAAATTCACTAATTAAATCTAGTAGTTTTTGGTGGAATCTTTAGGGTTTTTTTATGTACAATATCATGTCATATGTTTTTGCCCATTGAGTATGATATTCGCTTTAGCTTTGTCATAAGTGGCCTTTATCATGTTGAGATATGCTCCCTCTATTCCCACTTTGCTGAGAGTTCTTATCCAGAATGGGTGTTGGATTTTGTTGAATGCTTTTTCCGCATCTATTGATATGATCATGTGATTTTTGTCTTTCAATTTGTTTATATGATGTATCACGTTTATTGATTTTCAAATATTGTACCAGCCTTGCATCCCTGGAATAAATCCTACTTGATCATGGTGTATGATCTTTTTAATATATTGCTGGGCCTTAACCGGTTTGGCTCAGCGGATAGAGCGTTGGCCTGCGGACTCAAGGGTCCCAGGTTCGATTCCGGTCAAGAGCATGTACCTTGGTTGCGGGCATATACCCAGTAGCGGGTGTGCAGGAGGCAGCTGATCCATGTTTCTCTCTCATCAATGTTTCTAGCTCTCTATCCCTCTCCCTTTCTCTCTGTAAAAAAATCAATAAAATATATTTAAAAAACAAAAACAAAAACAAAAAAAATATATTGCTGGATTCGATTTGCTAATATTTTGTTGAGGATTTTAGCATCTATGTTCATCAGGGATATTGGCCTGTAGTTCTCTTTCTTTGTAGTGTCTTTCTCTGGTTTTGGAATTAGGATAATGATGGCCTCATAAAAAGAGCTTGGAAGTGTTTCTTCCTCTTGGAATAGTGTGAGGAGTATAGGTGTTAGTTCTTCTTTGAATGTTTGGTAAAACTCCCCTGTTAAGCTGTTTGGACCTGAGCTTTAGTTTGCTGGAGTTTATTGATTCCTGCTTTAATTTCACCAATTGTTATTGGCCTGTTCAGGTTTTCTGATTTTTCCTGGTAGGTTGTATTTTTCTAGGAATTTGTCCATTTCATTCACACTGTCCAGCTTGTTGGCATATAGTTGTTCATAGTATTTTCTTACAATCCTTTGTATTTCTGTGGTGTCAGTGGTTACTTTTCCACCTTTGTTTCTGATTTTATTCATTTGGATCCTCTCTCTTTGTTTCTTGATTAGTCTGGCTAACAGTTCATCAATCCTTTCAAAGAACCATCTCTTGGTTTCATTGATTTTTTTTGTCTCTATGTCATTTATTTCTGCTCTAATCTTTATTATTTCTTTTATTCTACTTATTCTGGGCTTTTCTTATTGTTCTGTTTCTAGTTCTTTAAGTTGTAGGGTTAAATAGTTTATGATTAATTTTTCTTGATTTTTGTTTTTGTTTTTGTTTGTTTGTTTGTTTTTCGGTAGGCCTGCAGTGCTATGAACTTCCTTCTCAAGACTGCTTTTGTTGTGTCCCAGAGATTTTGGGTTGTTGTGTGTTAATTTTATTTTTTTTCCAGGAAGTCTTTAATTTCTTGCTTGATCTCATTGGTAAACCATTCATTGTTTAATAACATGCTATCTAGCCTCCATGTGTTTGAATGTTTTGGGGTGTTTTTACTGTAGTTGATTTCTAATTTAATTCCACTGTGATCTGAGAAGATGCTTGATATGATTTCAATCTTCTTGAACTTGTAGAGACTTGTTTTGTGTCCTAACATGTGGTCTATCTTTGTGAATGATCCATGTGCACTTCAGAAGAATGTATATTCTGCAGCTTTGGGGTGAAATGTTCTATAAATGTCAGTTAAATTAATCTGATCCAGTGTGTCCTTTAGAGTCACTGTTTCCTTATTAATATTTTGTCTGGAAGATCTATTCAGTGAAGTCAGCAGAGTACTAAAGGCCCCTACTATAACTGTATTGTTGTCCATCTCTCCTTTAAAGTCCTCTAGAAGTTTTAAAAAGTATATTTAGGTGCTCCTATACTGAGTGTATATATGTTTACCAGGATTCTATCCTCTTGTTGGATTGATCCCATTAGTATTATGTAGTGATCTTTGCTGTCTCTTGTGATGGCCTTCATTTTGAAGTCTATTTTATCAAATATGAGTATCGCTACCCCAGCTTTTTTTTTTTTCCATTTTCCTGGAAAAATTTTTCCCATCCCTTCTCTGTCATCCTGTGTGAGTCTTTTGTGCTGAGGTGGGTCTCTTGTATACAGCATATGGTTAGGTCATGTTTTTGTATCTATTCAGCTACTTTGTCTTTTGATTGGAGCATTTAATCCATTTGCATTTAAGATTATTATTGATAGGTACTTATTTATTGCCATTTTAATTCTATAAATAGAGATTTCTCTCTCTATTTCCTCTTCTCATTACAGCAGTTCCTTTAGTATTTCTTGTAATGTTGACTTGGTGGTGATGTACTCCTTTAGCCATGTTTTTTTTTTTTTTGGTCTGGGAAGCTCTTTATTTCACTGTCTATTTTGAATGATAGCCTGGCTGGATATAGCAATCTTAGTTTCAGATCCTTGCTTTCCATTATGTTGAGTATTTCATGCCTTTCCCTTCTGACCTGTAGAGTTTCTGATGAAAAATCAGGTGTCAGCCTCATGGGAGCTCCTTTGTAGGTAACAAATTGCTTTTCTCTTGCTGCCTTTAAGATTCTCTCCTTGTCGTGAAGTTTTGGCATTTTAATTATAATTTGTCTGGGTGTGGGCTGTTTGGGTTCTTCTTGCATGGGGCTCTCTGTGCCTCCTGAGCTTATGTGGCTTTTTCCTTCACCAGGTTAGGAAAGTTTTCTGCCATTATTTCTTCAACACGTTCTCTATCCCTTTCTCCATTTCTGCCTCTTCCAGCACACCTGCTATGTGAATATTGTTACGTTTCATGTTGTCCCACTGCTCCCTTAAGCCGT